AGAAAGATATCAACCAGGACATGGTAATAGTTAACCTTGACCCCTTGATAACTAATGATGATCTGCACCAGATATTTGGTGTCCTTGGTGAAATCAAGGAGGTATGATACCATGATATAGCATAAAATCTTACATTATTTAGCTCTCATTTCAGGTGAAACGTTACTAAATAACTTTCTTTTCAGATTCACCCTATTTCAGACAATGATCATTACAGATCGATAGAATTTTTTGATGTCAGAGCAGCTGAAGCTGCGCGATATGCCTTAAACAGGAATGAAATTGCAGGAAATAAAATCAAATTGGAGCCTAGCTGTCTGGGTGGTACTAAATGGTAATATTTACATTATGTGACCACTTTGCATCTTAAACTTCTTGTGTATACACCCCACAACAGGCCTGGTCACCAACACTGAGCCACATTTGTATATGAAATCACCACGATCTTAAATCTGTTGTTTTTAGTATTATATCTGTTCTCTGTGTGGTAGTTTGATGCAGCAGATGTCTCGCGCGTTGGAGCATGAACGGTTTGGTGCATGCAAACTGGGAAGCCCAAACAGTCCTTCAACATGCTTTGGTATGCATTTTTATTTCTAATATTGAAATGCGTTTTCTCTGTTCTATTTTCTGACTGTAAGGCATAATGCAAGGTTCCATCAATATGGCATCCATCAGATCCACTGGCACAGAAAGTGGAACTGTTCAGGTTTTACGTTCTAGAGTTCAGACACCGATAAACCAATTCCGAGAGGGAAGAAGTTTTCTGGATCTTCCCTCAACTACCATAAGAAGTAGATCCTCTCCTGTTGGAATTGCTACTGCAGGATCACAAAGCAACCACCATGCTCTTGATGAGCACATCCATTCACTTGGAAAGATGAATGTACAGAACAAGGGACGAATGGACTGTGGCTTTCAAGAGAGTATTGCTTTCCATCCTCATTCTCTCCCTGACTTCAATGACAGACTAAGAAATGGTATCCCCTATAACTGCTCAATACCTCCCATCGGCGTTAAGAGCAATGCTAGAGCTCCTGAAGCAATGGATGGCAGGCATATTTACAAAGGAGGTTCTGGCAATCTCAGCAATCAATCTTCTGCTCATACTGAAGGTATCAACTATTAGGTCTTGGTTTTCTTGTTTGGTGATCTATACATAGTATTTTTCGAGTACCCAGATTTGCATATCAGTTGCATGGACATTTTTCTTTGCTTGCTGGTGATTTCTCATAATGCCATATTACAAGTGTGGATGCTTTTATGTTGATTACAAGAAATCTTTTGTATATTATGTTAACTATTATATGATAGTTGATTGCTCACTTGTCTAATACTTTTGCGCAGCACTTGGATTTTCAAGAACTGGTAGCTGCCCTCTCCATGGTCACCAACTAGCACGGAGTAATTCTAATAACCTACATCAGCAGCCTTCTTCTCCCATGCTATGGCCTAGCACGGGCCCATTTACCAATAATGTACCATCTCGCCAGTTGATGCAAGTGCATGGAATTTCAAGAGCACCATTGCGCATGCTTGAAAATACCATCCCTATGAATCACCAACATGTGGGATCTGCCCCAGCTGTCAATCCATCAATTTGGGATCGACAACATGGATATGCAGGGGAGATGATGGAAGCACCAGGATTCCACCCTGGGAGCGTTGGAAGCATGGGTTTCCCTGGCAGCACACATCTGCATCAGTTGGAAACCAATGGTGTGTTTCCTCACAATGGAGGGACTTTCATGGACCCAGCTTTGTCTCCTGCACACATGAGTGCTCCCTCTCAGCGGAGGGTACATATTTTCCATCGCAGGAGCCATGTGGCAACTATTCCATCCTCATTCGATTCTGCTGGTGAACGGATGCGGAGCCGAAGAAACGACTCGAATGTAAATCAATCTGACAATAAAAGGCTGTTTGAGCTTGACATTGAGCGTATAGTCCGGGGCGAGGACTCCCGGACTACACTGATGATAAAGAATATCCCAAACAAGTATATATCTGGGATTTATTCTAGTTTTCTGTGCAAGATCCTCTATACTTAAGTCATACAAATTTTTATGTTCCTATAAACCTTTGTGGTGATGTAGGTACACATCAAAGATGCTTCTGGCAGCTATTGATGAAAGTCACCGGGGAACTTATGATTTTATCTACTTGCCAATTGACTTTAAGGTGAGTGGATCTGCTCTTAGTCTTGGTTAGCAGATATTTCTTTAATTTTACTTGCTTTTTTGTTACTGGCATGTTTGTTGGACTAATAACCATTAATAATATCCATTTTCAGAACAAGTGCAATGTTGGTTATGCATTCATCAACATGATCAATCCTGACAATATTGTTCCATTTTATAAGGTGAGATTCTACAACATACTTTTAAAAAAACTAGACGAATCTAGGAGGAACTATGTGGCATTTTATTAAGAAGAAAGTAGACTCTCCAAATTTGCCTTGACAAGGACTTGAACTAACAGAGCACTCAGCTTCCTTGATTCTACAACATACTTACAGTGTTGATTATGATGAATCTATTAAACTCTCATTTTATTTGTACATTCTCTTTGATTTTTCTATGTGCATGCAAGAAAGAAATATTATTGGTGACTTTTAGATATAGATTGCCAAGTTCTCAAGTCGTTTATTTAGAATGTTTTTGTTTCATATTACTAGCCATTTTCTATAATGTTTAATGGTACTCCCTGTGTTTCAATCATAAAAAAATACAAGGCATGGTTTGAGTCAGTGCGGTCTCTAATACTATACTTTGACCATTGATATCTCTTATGTCACATAGTTATGACCACAAGGTCATCAATGAAAGTGCATTCAAATATGAATCTAGTGGTACTGAAGTTGTATCCAACAATCTACAAACTCCTATTGCTAAGAATTAGCCAAAGATTAGGAAGGTTGGATCTTGGAATGCATGCACACTTTATAAATAGAAACGGATGGAGTATGAAAATGAAGAACTTTAACACATCTGTCTCTTGCAGACATTTCATGGGAAAAGGTGGGAGAAGTTCAACAGTGAGAAAGTGGCCTCACTTGCTTATGCTAGAATCCAAGGAAAATCAGCTCTAGTTGCTCATTTCCAGAACTCAAGTTTGATGAATGAGGATAAACGCTGCCGCCCTATACTCTTCCACTCCAATGGTCCGAATGCAGGAGATCAAGTATGCTCTCTACTTGTCCATCTATCTCTATTATCTGTTGTATCATGGTATATGACTGTATGGGAACTCTGCTGCTCTGTATACAAGTCTGGCTTATCCTTGAAATATGCTAGTTTGAACACACTAGTTATTCTGTCTTTGCCTTATGGCATAACTACTGTAGATATTCTCTTGCGTCGTTTCAGCACTGACTGCCCTAGAAACGTCACTGTCTGCAAGAGTCCTATGTGACGAGTATAATCTCAGATTTTAGCCAAACCTTGCCTAATACAAATGCTGGCCACACCTTAGGCAAGGTCTGGCAAGGGTGCGGATGGTGTGGATGAGAACCAAACATGCCCACTGTTTCATATATGTCAAATAGGGAATGTGAATAGTCTTTCGGTTTCATCATTTTGCATCTCCAGTAACCTTTTTTTTGTCTTTCCTCAGGAACCATTCCCTGTGGGATCGAATGTCCGTTCCAGGCCTGGAAGGTCCAGGATTTTGAGCTGGGAACAAAACCACCAGGACATTGTGTTGGATCATACCAAAGGAGGAACTCCTCCGAGCAGGGGTGGTGGCACTCCAGGTTACATTGCCACGGATACTGATCATATGGCTGTCGCTTGAAGAACTTACCACACCACCCAACCTTCTGACATTTGCAATCCACTTTTTTTGAAATTGCATCCTCTCCCACCCCTTTGCCCCTTTTGTTATGTTGTATCTATATCTACTTCCGCGTGATATTTGGGCACCGGAGGCTCTCTAGACGGCTGCAGATTTGGTCGCTGACAAGTAACGAGGAGATGGACGTTGTGCCACTCAGTTTCTCCTTAAGGCCTCATCGAAGCATTGTCGTTAACTATTAACTGAGTTTCTGCTTTGGAAGGCGAAAGGCGCATGGACTGCTTCGAGATTTTGGGTAGTGCTGTAAGATGTAACCCAGTGTTGTACAGGTGCTGTAAGAATGGTTCACTAGTGGAGGGAACAAGACACTGTCCACTTTTTTGGGTGATGTCAATTGTCAACTGTTTATGCAAGGCAGTCTGCCAAGCGTCTTTAGTAGCCCTCTTTAATCCTACGATGCTGATGCCTTTCGCAAATGCAGTGTGTTCTGCCTGGGAAGCTCGGTTCTCCTGGGACATGGTGCACGCACTAACATGACACTGTCAATTTTGCGTGGAAAATCTTTGCACGACCTAGAACTACAGTACATACCATGAGACATGTTGGATAATTAGGCACTTTCATCATTGATTTTAGGACACAAATCATGACGAGCGCATACATACTAAGATGTAATTCTTTATCATACTAGTTGAAACTGAACATCGTCAATATAAACAGTAGTTGAATCTGAACATCGTCAATCTGAACAGTAGCTTGGTCTCCATGTTTCCCAGTCCACTTCCAACATAATCCACTACCTCCGACCTCCCTTCGCCCGCCTTTGATCATCAATATCCATATCTTCCTCCTCCTGGCATGACCTCTTCTTGCCTTCTTGTTGTTTGGGATTCTCCCCCGCCCGATCTCCCCTCCCCTCCCTATTCAACCTCTTGAAGGATTGGCACTTCCCAAGAAAGTCTCTCTGGCTCATCCACCAAGGTATTTCTTGCGGGTGACTCAATGTGCATGGCACTCTATTCAGGTTGCACGGAATAGCCCCAGCCACTTGTGCATGTATCCTTGTCTTTGCTGTTTCTTGCCCTCCCACACTGGCCCCACTCCTGTCTCCACTCGGCTTCTCCCTTTCTGATTTTCCACCAAACTATTTTGCCGAGTCATTGAACAAGGCTTTCCTCGCGTCACCTTCGGTGATCCCAGGGCCTTCAGCGGGCTGGTGACCTCTTCGTCCTCCCTCCCCTTTTCCTTCCTCCATCTATCACCCTCCCCTTCTTTCCTCCAGCTAGGTGCATCACTCCCCCGTCGTCCTCCGCTTTCCCAGCTACCAGAACTGCCCCGCTGCCTCTTCCTCTAGACACCCTCCAAGGTTGCAATGAGCTCTGGCCTACAGGTCGATCACCCATCAAGCCCTCAATTTTCCTCTTCTCCACTTGCTTCTCACACAGTCGATCCGTATGCCCAATGATGTCGCATGTGTAGCGAAAGATGGGTAAAAATTCATAACATAGCGGGCACCAGATTGGTTTTTCAGCATCGCCTTCACCCAAGTCAATTGTCACTCCGCTCATAAGAGGTTTCCTGATATCTAGTCTGATCTTGAACCGCATGAACTGACCAATCGCCATGTCGTCCTCATCTGCATCCACGCCAGCACCTCCCCCAATCACTTCCCCCTCCGCCTTCTTCATCATTCCCAATGGCATCTTATTCACTCTTACCCAAATTGGAATGGACGAGAATTCGATCTCATTAATTGTCTTCGCCCCATCAAATTCCGCCGCCACCACCAGGTCTTTCCCGAACATCCAGGGACCATCCTCCAGAGCTCTCTTCTTACGCGGGCCTTGAAGAAAGGTGACCAGGAAGCGGTTCTCTCCTAGATCCCTAAATTCCACTCCCTTCAAGGGACACCAGATCTTCCCCAAGGCGAGTTCCAGGGCCTCCATCCTGACAGGTTTGTCCGTCCAAACTTTGACAACCGCGTGGTGCATCACCCCCATCGAACCTCCAATATTGATGCTTTTCTTCTAGGAATCCGAAAGCTTCATCTTTGCCATCGACCCCAGCACCTTGTTCACATTGGATCCAGAGATCCACTCCTCTCTAGGACACTGGGAAGCCCCGTCGTCAGAGAACAAACGAACATAGGTTGACCAGTGGTGGAAAACTACGTGGCTAGCAGATTTGGATCGAGCATAACGAACAAAAAGGTCTTGCATCATCTGAGCCTAGCCAGATAGGGCCTGCATCCAAGATGTGAGGTTAGAGAAGAGGCCTAATGTGACTAACTTAATTGCATTTATAAACGCCAGAAAACAGAAGTTAGCCCGAAACCTACAATAGTAGGGTCTATATGTACGCCCGCTTGGCATCACTCGATCGAGAAAGAAACCTAACGAGACCCGATCGCCTGGTCATCAGTGATAATAATCGAGGCGATGGACGATCCCGGTCACCACGTCGCTGATCACAATCCCAAGCGGAGCCGCCACCCCGGCGGATCCTGCGCCGGCCATCACGCCGATCTGATCTGCGCCCTCCCCGACGACCTCCTGATCGCGATTCTCTTGCGCGTGGGCGACTCGCGCACCGCGGTGTCCACGTCCGCGCTTTCGCGGCGCTGGCGGCGGCTCGACCCCGCCCGCTGGTTCCCCGCGTTTGACTTCTCCGTCGGCGATCACCTCCCGCCGCAATACGCGGCGACCCTGGATTGCTACCGCAACGCACAACAGGGCAGGGATGATGAGGCGCGGCGGGCGCTCGCCCGGCAGGTCTTCACCTGCGAGGACCGCGCCATGGAAGCCTACGTGCGCGAGCTCGCTCGCTTCCTCGGCTCCCCCGAACTCTACCCGGCCGCTAGGTCCCTCCGCCTCGAGTTCTACGTCACGCCGCCGGAGGAACGACACAATGATGCCGCTTCCACCGCCGTCGGGAGGGCCATGGCAGCGTGCGTCGCTTCAGCCTTGCGCTGGCCCCAGCTCGAGCGCCTCGCCATCTACGCCTTCCCACGCGGCGTGGCGGCGGCGGCGGCGGCGTTCGGGGCCCACGAAACCTCGGACCCGGAGTTCATCGAGGCGCTGCGGCTGACGGACAGCCGCCTCGCGACCCTTCACGTCAAGAACTGCCTGACGAAGAGCGGCGGCGGCTACGGGCTGCTATTCCCCGCCCTGTCAAGGCTCACCATCGAGACCACGCCGGGGGTCAAGGCTGTCTTCCCGAGGAGCTACTTCAACGACCTCCTACAATCATGCCGTGGCCTCGTGTTCCTGCGCCTTGTGTCGTGCAACTTCGCCGCCGGCGTCGCGGCACTGCCGTTCAAGCTGGACCTGTCGCCGGCGTCGAAGCTCGCGGAGCTCGTCTTGTCGGCCTGCAACTTCGAGGACGTCAGACTCGTCAACACGCCGAGCCTGGAGAGGCTGGTGATCCACAAGTGCGATCGGCTCTGCCTTACTGTCGACATCGCCCCAAGGCTGGCGACCCTGGTGTGCCGGGGTACGGCGCCATGGATATACGGTAGCGGCACGGCAAGGACCCTCCGGTTCGTCGAGTTGAGCTCCTTGAATTCCAGGCAGAGCCAGGAGAGACTGGAATCCTTCTTCCAGTGCGTTCCTAAAGTCGAAGTGCTGGAACTATGCTTCCGGGATGGATGGGTAAACAGGGTAAGTCATAAAAATCAGAACAATAATGTAAATTATTTTATACACTGCTTGGCATACATTGTCGTAATTTGATGTCAAGATCATTTTGTTCACGCATGTCCTTAATTTTGCTCCTTACGACTAGAAATTCTGGGAAAACAGAGTTTAGATCAGCCCATCTGACTTCAAGAATTTTTTACTGGAACTTTAGTTAAACCACAAATAGGTAGTAATAAAAGTAGAGTGTTGATGAGATTCAATCTGAACAAAGATGTTGACGAATGATCTGGTAAGTGCATAAATGTACATGAACATACACAAAAACCTAATAATAAGCAACCTATAGAGTTCACTCCTTTCAATCAACAGAAGATTTTTATCTTACGTATGCATATATATTTGTCTCGCAATATATTCAGGATATAGAGCTTTGTTACATATTCCCTATATTATTTATACTAGTATCTTGTGGTACACAGATGTGCCAATGACCAGGTTGTTGTCCAAGGTAATACTCTCTTTAATTTGTAAATCGCTTTAGTTTTGTTATAAGTCAAACTTCTCTAGATTTAAACAAGTTTATAGAAAAATGCACAAACATCTATAACATCAAACAAGATTCATTAGATACACCATGGAATATATTGTGATAGTACATATACTTGATAATATAGGTGTTAATGCAATTTTGTATTAACTTCATCAAAGTTAGATGAGTTTGACTTACTAAAATTACTTACAGTTTGAAATGCATGGAGTAATTTCGAAGGTGGTACGGTGCTAACCTCACTGCTGCAGAATCATAAATAAAATATTTACGTTGACTGCACTAGCAAACGTTAAGTATGACAAATATTTTTTAGTAACTTTTACATTTTACAACGCCAAAATGACAAAAATACAGCAAAAGTTTACTAGAAACCATAAAGCACACTGAGATATATGTTATGACCTCCTTAGCAAAATTCTTCTTGTTTTCTTTTTTGTTATCAAGTTGCTCAACATCCCTATGTAGAGAATTTTGATTGCAAAACTTCTTTCAGTGATCTTAATTTGACAGTTCCCTGACAATCGATTCAGAAATTAGATAGTGAATTGTTTTTGCCATTTTCTTATAAAAAAACTTGTATCCATTTCATTTTCCCCATACTGCCAACTTTCTATAATTCTTGTGTCACTTTACTTTTGGGATATTCCAGTCCCATGTTGACAGTTTTAATTTCACTCATTAATTAACATATCATTTTAGTGAAACACTTTGCACAAGTTCTACTGAAACACTTACATGTGGGACTTTGTGACAGTTCAATCTGAGCTTATGATTCATAAGATGGATGATGTTAAGTATGCCCGCACACACTCATGCTCTCTTGTATGTAGCACTAAGCAATTCATGAATTATAGTGGCTTTTTAAACTCTTGCTACACCTTTTTAAATCAATATTATGTTCCTTGCTGTATCCAAACCATCGATCTTGTTTCATCAATATCACCATGCAGGCTCAGTTCGTAGGTTCTAGGTGTTGAGGGCAGTCACTCTATTTTCTTCCTTTTCTTGTTTTTAAGTTTTATTCCAGATCACTCATCACTTGCTTGGTGGTGTGTGTAATCTGTGCTACGAGGGTTTTTTCGTAGCTGCGTCGTGTAATTCTCTCTTCTTAATGATAAACGGGCTATATTTCCTGGTCGCGAAAAAAATCAATATCACCATGCACGATTATTGCAAAAAGAAAAAAGATCGGAACTAACAATAACTCTTTTATTATTGCAAGTTTTGGGTTCAACCCACCAAATTCCCGAATAGATTTGAGAATCTCAAAAAGTTACTGATACACCTTCCAAGGATGTGGCCACTCCGTTGGATCAAGAAATTACTGAAAAATTTACTAGAAGCTGCAACATGCTTGGAGAAGCTTCACATCCAGGTATAACAGTTTCTGTCGATCTATTCTCCAGCATGTCGTTGCCAATATTTCTGCTCATTTACATGCAACTTTGCATGCCACTATCATTTTTCAGTTTTTTGCACCGTCACCGGGGACATCCGAAGAATGGGGCTCAACTCCTTCCAACGGCAGTGCAGATGATTTGCAGCACAATTGCCTGACGCAGATTGTAATGGAGGGATGTACATGGACAGAAGGCCAAATCACACTGATTAGGCATTTGTTGAGTTCATGTGGGGCTCTTAAGACGGTTCTTTTAATTCCGCACCATGCTCGACAGGGAGGCGTTGCATACTTGCATGCCCATTGTGGTTGATGAAAGACAGGAAGGCGGTAACCGTCTCTCAGCTTAGGGATGGGATTCACTCTAATGCCGAAATTATTTTCGGCTGAAAAAGGGCTATCAGATTGAAGGTGTTCATGCTGGTAGTCAATTCATCACAGCCTAACATTTGAAAGTACAAATTTTAGTAATCCTGATGCTGCCTAGGTGCTGAAAAAAGATTGCATAGGAATAAGTTTGAACTGTCAAGATTATATATTGGTGAACAAGTTCAGGTGGTGACGATGTTGTTTGCATGAGGATTTCATGTTTTGCACACACTGCTTTTGATGGTAACAGTGAGGAGCTTATTTGGTTGCTGGTGGAGTGGTGGGCTTGATGCGGCACAAAGCCCATTGATGTTGCTCATTCTAGCCCATCTGAGAGAGAGGCTTGTATGCGATCACTGGCCCATTTATTTTGCTTATTCGAGCCTCTGTAGAGCTTCAGCTCGAGCCTATGTTGAGCCCATTTATTTTGCTCATTCGAGCCCATGTAGAGCCTCAATTTTTTTTTAAAAAAATATATACTTTGTACTAGTTGCTCAAAAAAAAAAATCTATACTATGTACTTGGACTTTCAAAGGTTACCCTGTGAGTATAAAAAATTATGAGTGAACTCAAGGTGATTTCATAATTTTCTCACGCCATTCACACATGATAAATCCCAAGGAAAATCAGGCTTGTTCAGGAGGGACGAGGGTTTCCTTTTTCGGACTTTAGTTGGTCTTGAGTGTAGATAACTCCAGAAAGTCAGCAAGGCAAATCTCAGATGAGATGTCAGGTAACTTAGGAATACAAAGTTAGGTGACCTATAGTTTGCACAATTCCCTTGCTCCTACGACACGATAAACACTGGGCAACATAGATGCATGCATGTATTGACATATATGGTGCAGTCGGCAGCTATATATATAGTGTTTTAGCCGTTCAAAGATTCCCATAAACTAATACTCTATGCTCCTGGCACCAGCTTCTTCTTCTTTGTTCATACTACTGCAAAACATCAGGTTTTGCAGATTAAACAACACTTTATATGTTTGGTCGTCGTTGTTAGCAAGATATATTTGTTGCAGTATCCCTATCTAAAACCTGCCAAAAGCGGACCAATCAATCAGGATGTTTAGAGCACATGGTGATTATTGTTTCTGGATCGAGTAAAGTAGTTGTGGCATTGACCGATTGGTATCTGCAGACTGCAGAATTATTGTTGGAGGCCTGACACGCCTGAGGCAGGAAGAAAATAGATGCATCACAAATTTTTTTTGTTTGACCAGAAAGCTGAGACGATCTTCTGGTTGCTCCTTTTGTTTACACAATCTGTTTGGTTTTAATAATGTTATAAATTAATGTTGTCTGGAAGCCGACGACCGGTTTGGTGTTGGGTACTTTTCATTGCAAAAAAAAAAAAAATGAAAAATTATATATATGGCTCAAATGATCGAGAAGGTTTTTGGACTGTGACCAAGTGTATATCTTTTTTGCTCGTTCTTGCTTGTTTTACCTAGAGGAGACCAAAGCCCATCTCCATATCTTATTGGTTTAGTTCATCCCCTAAAGTTTACTCTCTATCACATCGGAGGTTTGGACATATGTATGGAGTATTAAATATAGACTAAAAAAATAACTAATTACACAGATTGCGACTAATTTGTAAGACGAATTTTTTAAGCCTAACCAGCCCATGGTTTGACAACGTGGTGCTACAGTAACATGTGCTAATGATGGATTAATTAGGCTTAATAAATTCGTCTCACGGATTACTGAGGACTTATGTAATTTGTTTTATTATTTATTTCCGAACGCTCCCATATAACACCCCGATGTGACATCCCTAAACTTTACTCCCTGAATTTAAACATCACTTTAAACAAGGAAATAGAGTAAAAGCAAACAGATTTTTGTTGCTTTCCCGTGACAGTAGGGAAATAGAGTAATAAATACTCTCTTGGCTCCTAAGTCCCAACAATACAATAAATGCGCATTTGACGTTACTGTTGGTCAAACTTTTTTTTCCTTCGACAAAAATTGACTTTGAAAAGAATAAAGTAAAATGTCTTTTTTAGCAACCTTGGAAGGAAAGAATACTCGCGCTGTTCGTTTGGGCTTATTTGGTTTATAAGCCATGGCTGAAAGTACTGTTGGCTGGTTTGGTGTGAGAGAAAAATATTGTTCGTTGGCTGATAAGCCATGGCTTATAAGCCAAATACGACCAAGCGAACTGTCATTAATGATGATATTAGCACCACTTTTAAACAAAAAGGTCTTGGGTAAGGAGATCGTATATTACCAATTTTATTTAACAATGTGGCAAATATGCTCTCTATATTGATTATTAAGGCAAAAGATAATGTCGAAATTAGAGGGATCATACCTCACCTTATGGATGATGGTTTGTCTATATCGTGCACATTTATTTACATCATACAATCCTATTTTTGGATCATTATATGGAGCAAGTGAAGAACCCTAAATTGTTGCTCAGTATTTCTAAACAATTATTTGTTTGAGAAAAAATGTTCTAAACAATTATTAGGTCAAAAAATTAACTTACAGAAAAGTGTGATATTTTGTTAAGGTGATTATAGACATTATGAACAGGAGCATCAAACTATTTCGCCATCAGTCAGCATCTTACCATTTCTGATCCCACTGCATCACCATAAACTCTGTGATGCAAATTGGAGTGTAGCTGAGGAAAGATTCAAATGAAAGCTATGTACCAAGAAAGCCAAACATTCTTAGCAGTCTACCCATGTTTATGCTGTCCATTTTGGAAATATGAAAGGGTATTCTAAGAATGCTAGAATTTTATCATCAAGATTATTTTGTCAACGCAACAATGATAAGAAAAAGAAGAATACCGCCTAGCTAATTAAGTGGAACGTCTTGTGTCACTAATTAAGCACAACTACATGGTTTTTAGATGCTAAAAAAAACTACATGGTTTTTAGCTGGAGAAAAAACCAGCAAAACCATGCAACTATATATATATATGATTTATGAGAGGAGGGAAAAACCTGCAAACAATGGGAGGACAACAAATCAGTTGCCTCGACATGCAGAGAAAACCGCTAGACCCTCGAAACACCAGAGGAAGAGCAACTTCGATGGCCAGATCGAACATGCCGGAGTAACAACTTGGTTGGGATTGCAAGCCCAACACAACAACAATTCAAAGGAAAGGAAAACCTTGACAAACAAATCTAGAGATGCCAGACATGTTGGGTTTCAATTAAGCCAAGTACAATCACAAGGATGCCGAAAAAAATCTAATAAGGAAACTACGCCTGTCGTCGGTCTACTATCTAACGGCTGGCGCCTGAACACCAAAGATCTCAGGGTGTGGACTCTCGGATCGACACGTGTGTGCGATGGTTGAAAATCTTCACGTGACGAAAGTACACGGGAGGCAGAGACGACAATAATGGCTTGGTAAGATACCAGCGACGAAAAGCTCGTGGGAGCAAGAGCCAAGATGATAGAAAGACCGACGAACAGACAGCAGGCACAACAGCTAGCAAACTCGTAAAGCTGTTGCAACAAAGCAATTAAAGCGCTGGATCGATCGGATTGACCGACCGAGATGACATGTCAAGCAACCATAGATCCATACTCACGTCGTTGGATCAGTATGAACGACGGGGCACGCCTTTGCAGGGTATACAGGAGTATGTATTTTACACGTAACTGGCTGGCTGGCCAAATGGACCATGCATGCATGCTGCAGATCAAAAGGGAAAGCCTCTTTATTCACCGTGATCGTTTGATCGTATCAGATAGGCTTATCAATCATGATATAATATTTTTCTCTCACAACAAAACAGTATCAACCAGCTTATAAGCCACAGAAACGATCAAGCGAACAGAGTTATAGCAAGTTACAGTAGGAGCTTCCGATCCGGAGGATAAGGACGTGCGACTAGCAACTAGCTAGCTCATCCAAACAGATATATGACCTGTTCGCTGATTGGTTTCTGGGCTGATAAGCCTGACAGGTATTGGTTTGTTGTGAGAGAAAAACACTATTAAATGGCTGATAAGCTCTGGCTGAAACCAACCAGTGAACAGGACAATACTCTATACTCATCATCATCTACGTACTTCCTACGTATACGATGATATCAGAGTTAGACGAGACCACGTCTATGACATGCGTGCGTGCTCTCATGGAGTCATCCCGATGTTTGGATACGAAATGAATCGATTAAGAGAGTACTCGAAGTAGGTTGACGCGATGGACCGGCCGACGTGGCTCTGTATATAGCACGTTCGTCTCGAACTTAGCACCTGTTGATATAGTTACTAGTCGAGCACATACCCACGTAGGATCGAAGTACTCCCTCCTATAGAAAAGAATGCAATTTTAGCACATTATTATAATTTAGTATCTTAAGTTCAATCAATTATAAATAAAAAATATCAATATTTATAATATCAAATAAATATTATTAGATTAATTACGAAATGTATTTTTATAATAAATTATTTTAAAGCAGTAAATTTAAATAGTATTCACTAAAAAAAATTTGTCGAACGTGAACTACTCTCGTCGGTAGCTTTATGAACGGACTGAGTACACATGTAGTGTAGCACCATGACCTAGCTAGCTAGGTTTCTGAGGTTTGGGGATAACTCTCTCTCTGACCAGACCAGCTGCTCATGTACAGTTGAGTCGGTCTCCCTATCTAGCGCCATCATGCACCTCCGGTCAGACCTGAGAGATGGAGGGCCCGACAGTCCATGCATGCGTGTGTGTCTATACTACACTACACCCCATATGGCCATATGGCTCACATAAGTCATACATCTGGTAAAGTGGGCCAGTCTTAGCGACGGTAGCGTTGTTTCCAAAATTATCATATAGAACGTAAATAAAACAGGGATGAAACACCATTTTCGATGAAAAGTTTTATTCTACGATTTTATAGACATTTAATTTCATAACTCATGAGAGTTGGTAATCATGTCAAGAGAGTTTCATCTCATTTCTTC